GAGCCTAAAATTAAGGGCCCGGATACCACAAAACTAAAAAAAAACTAAAAAAAAATAGAAAAAAGGCAAAAAATTCAATAAAACCCAAAAAAAACCTCAAAAAACCACAAAAAACCACCCAGTTTAGGATTCTCAAAAAGGCACCCCGCACACGAAGCAAGCTCAATAAACCCTGAACCCTAAACCCTAAACCCTAAACTAACCCTAAACCGAAACCCGAAACCCTAAACCCTAAACCCTGAACCCTGAACCCCTCGACCGCCCCAACATTAGGCCCTGACGCAGGGGCCTTCACCAGGGGGACTGTCGCATCCGGCGGGCAATCAATAGGCACATAGGGAGCCTGGGGCCCAGAGACTCCAATATCCCTTAATCAAGGAACATTCCTTAAATCATATTAGGGATCCTACTATAAATTAAGGTATATTCCTTGATTAAGGGGTATTGGAGCCTGGGGTGCGGCCAAGGTTTGGGTTTTTTCCTTTTTTAAGGGCTCCTTTTCGAACTGCAGAGGTTTGGGGTCTAGGGCTTAGGGTTTTGGTGGTCTAAAGGTTCAAGAATATGGAAACCGCAATATGGACCCTAAACCTTTCAAACCCGAAAATGCTAAGCCCCTCAAGCCCTAACCTTAACCCCTTAGCCTAAACCCGTAAAGCCTAATCGAAAACACTTTGGCAGTGAACCGTACAGCAACCCCTCCTGATAGAACCCTTCCGGCAACCTTAAACAAAGCCAAACCGTTTATTTCTACCGTATCCTAAGACCTAAACGCGTTATAAGGTATCGTGAACTCTAAACCGTTTTTCGGGTACTCTAAGCCCCAAACCCTAAGCCCTTTGTAAGGTACGGTACCCGAAACACCAAGCCCCACCCCTTATAAGGTCCCCTTGACCCTGAACTCCTTATAAGGTACCCTTAACCCTATAGACCCTAAAGCCTTTACAAGGAAAGGTACGCTAAACTTCACACGGTACCCTCAACCCTAAACCCTTTACAAGGTGCCCGAAACCTAAACCCTAAACCCTAAACCCGAAACCCTAAACCCCTGAACCCTAAACCCTAAACCGCTCTCACAGCGATAGATGCGGCCCCAGCCTTGCCGCAGAAGCGGCACTGCGCGTGGACGCCATCCGCCCAACAACCCAGGGACCTTGGGTGGCTTTACTTAGAGGATCATGGGACTTAGTAACTAGGGTTATAATTTAAGGTAACTATACTTATAGTTACATATAAGCCCAACTAAGGTACTTATAACCATACTTACTAAGTCCCATGATCCTCCAAGTAGGGCCTAGGATTCTTTCCTTTTGAGGTCCTCTGTAATGTCGGCCCTATCCACTTGACAGGGCTTAGGATTTTGGGTTTAGGCTTTAAGGTTTGGGTTTCCGGTCCCTTTTGCAAAGATTCCTTTAGGTTGCTTGAAGCTAACCCCTTTCGGTTCCCTGAATCGTGCTTTCAAGTTCCTGTACGGGAACCCGTTGAGGGTTTCCTTGAGGGTTCCGGTAAGGTTTCTTTAAGGGAAAGCTTCGATGGTTCCTTTAAGGATTCTGCAGATTCCTTGAGCTTCCTTTAAGGAAACCCTATCGGGTGTAGTCTTCTTTAACGAGCTCCTTACCAGCTGTATGAATGCTTCATTCTCAAAGTGCTTGGAAGGGTTCAGGGTTTGGGTTTTAGGGTTCATTTAAAGTTCTTTCTTTAACGGGTTCGAAACGGGTTCCTCAACTTGTCAACAGGGCTCCATATTTAGGGTTTGAGGTCTGGGTTTCTGTGAAGGAACTTGATTCCATGATTCTTCGAGACCATCCGATCATCCCAAGCGTCTACGTCCTATGTATCTCAGACTCTCGCAGTCCTAACCTTATGCTTCCAAGGACCTTATAGTTAGGGCCCTAGACCCCTTAAGGACCCAATAACAAGGTCCCTATAAAGCCTAGGGTAATCGTTGGACCCGCAAGGTGGAGATTGCAGGTAAGCAGCTCAACCACGCATTTCTCATCCCAGAAGTAGGGTATCCTGACAAGGAAGGAAGGCAGGGCCGGAGTCTGCGGTTCCCACTGGGAGTTTCCGAAAATAGGGGACCCTAATATAGTACCTTAAATAGTAGGATCCTTATTATAAGGACCCCTAAATAAGGTACCCCTATTTTCGGACACTCCCCACTCGTGAAGTCTACAGAGGCCTTACTAATTGGTCTACGGTCTTGGGGGGGGGTTGTAGCAAAAACAGCTTACGCCATCCTCAGGAACAGTATTGCTTATCAGCTGTCCCGACATTGCCTCCGAACTCAGATTCTACATACCTCAGCTGGCAAGCTCGGAATTTAGTAGGGCTTGGGAAATCAGGATAGGGTGCTGGGGCACCTGATCTGGAAGTTCTTATCAGGAACCTAAGATACAGTAGATTACTCAGGCTTCTGCATTCAGGCCTGCTGCTTCTCGCGACTGAACAGGCCCAAGTCACGAGCTGGAAAGCACAGGTAGGCAAAGAGATAGACCTCTAGACCATACACCCTAAATCGAGTGAATCTGAAACGGAGCCAAGTGTCTTGGGCTCATTCACGAAGGTGCAGACTTTGTCAGTGCCTCAAGGCTCAAGGTCGCTTGAAGGGTTCTCTGAAGGGTTCTGCAAAAGACTTCTATGGAGCCGAGGCATTTGGGGGGCAAGGGCTTGTAGCCTAGGGCTTCAAGGCTGTGTGCATTAGGCCTTAAAGGTTTATAGTTTAAGCTTAGGGTTCAGGTTACTAAGATGTAAAGGAAGACCAGTTATTTGTGGTACGACCTAGCTGATGATGGGGATGAGGGTAAAAAGATGAGGGTGAAGGGAAGTTATGCATGAGTAGTAAGTACGAGGAGAAGAGGAGGAGAAAAGCAGCAGGAGGATGGACTTAATTACAGCGGGTTCCCGCGAAGCCTTGCGCGAAACTCACGACCACGGCCGCCAGCGCAAGCAAGCGCGGCACCATCAGCGTCATGGCGGGTTTCTGACGTATCTCAAGAGGAAGAGTTGTTCCCATGATTTTTGCTAAGTTGTCACTTTGAGTGCTGGCATCCATGCCGAGACACCCCATCTTTTCTACAGGCTGCTATGCTGCTACGAGGGTTATGATTCTGGGCAGTTTCCGAGCTTATAAGTCTACGGGGTTATATTGCTTATGTTATGACTTGTCAGGGCTATGTTACTCATATTATGAGCTTCTCAATCAGGGTCTCCGCAGAGAGACTCTGCACCTGGTCCAGCAGCCACAAGGCTTCGGCGAGGAAGGTCTTCACTGTGAGCTGTGAGGCTCAGGTTCGGGGCGGGGTTTTCTGGTTTTAAGGGCTCCTTTCCGAGTGCGCGTAGTTTTGGTTGTAGGGTTTTGGGGTTTAGGGGTTTAGGGGGTGTTAAGGGTTTAGGGTTAAGGGTTTAGGGTTTAGTTGAAGTTGCGACTTGAGGAGGAATGCAGGTTTTTATGGCCTTGGGTGGTGGGTTCCGAGCTTTGGGGGGGCTCCGTGGCTTTTCGATATTGCCGGATTGTGTGCCAGACTATTATTCAAACTTGCATGCATTGTTAGGGGGGCATACGAAAGATGCTGCAACAACAGTGAAAACAAACTAAAGGTGTGAGCATGAATTTTGGATTCTTTCTGTTTTGCTTATGGATTTCTTTTGTGTCCTGTTTCCCCGAGCAGCTCAGTATTGTGACCAGGTGCACATTCTCCTGAAACACACGGAAAACCCGCAAAATGTGCAACTTGCGGAAATCATTGAAGTCGCGGACCTGAAAACACACAAAAGGGTTTTGGAGGTAGAACTTCCCATGGCAGTGCAAGAGAACTACCTACGACTACGTTGGTGGGGCTTGTTGACACTTAGTTGCTGAGTTCATAAGCCCCAAAAAGTGTACACTTTTAGCTTTCCCAAAAAGTGTAAAGTGTATCCACTCAGCTACTAACGAGCCCCGCCGAGAGAGTGCCCTCATGTTCCCCGGCAGGGGGGGGCCACAAGTTAGCACCCTTCCTGTCATGCTTCCCGGCGGCGGTAAAACTAATGGTGCTGATGGTCGTTCTCCTGCTGGCGTTTCTGCTGCTGCTGCTACTGCTGCTGCTGCTGCTTCTACTGCTGCTGCTTCTGCTGCTGCTGCTGGTGTTGTTGTTGGTGGTGGTGGCAGTGGTGGCAGTGGTGATGGCGGTGACGGCGGTGACGGTGGTGACGGCGGTGACGGTGGTGACGGTGGCGACCGTGGTGAAGGTGGTGACGGTGGTGACGGTGGTGGGGGTGGTGATGGTGGTAGGGGTGGCGGGGTGTTGGGGTGGGGTGGCGGTGGTGGTGTCGCTACAGTTTGGCTGTTGTTGCTGCTGATGTTGTTCTTGCGGTTGTGGTTATCCTTCTAGTTGTACTGGTGGCAGCAGGGGCAGTATTAAGTCTAGCAGAAGTAGTAGTAGTCGTCGTCGTCGTAGTAGTAGTAGTCGTAGTAGTAGTAGTAGTAGTAGTCGTCGTCGTCGTAGTAGTAGTAGTCGTAGTAGTCGTAGTAGTCGTAGTAGTAGTAGTAGTAGTAGTAGTAGTAGTAGTCGTCGTCGTACTAGTACTAGTACTAGTAGCAGCAGCAGCAGCAGCAGCAGTAGTAGTAGTGTGTCTCAGAACTCATTCAGTGTTTCGGACCAGAGTGAAACCAGAAGAGCGGACAGGAGACACTCGGCGCAGGGGATGAGGGTGAAACAAGAAACAGAAACGCCGAAAATCAGAAAAGGTTATGAACAGAGGAACGAAGCAGAAAGGCCGGAGCAGAAAGCGTGAAAGCAGAGAAGCAAAAGTGCGGAAAGACAGCGAAGCAGAAACGCCAAAAGAAAGCCAAGTAGGGAGCGACAGGCAAAGAAAAGAACAAGGCAGAACGGCAAAACAACATCAGAGCGCAGAACACCGATAAAACAAAAACGAGTATATATATATATATATATATATACATCTCCGAAATAAACTCAGAACACCTCGAACCCAAATCCCCAAACAAGAAAAAGTCCATCCTCACCCGCAGCGCACGGCGAAGCCGGGACTTCGGGTGGCGGAGGTGGAGGAGGCGCCTCTGCTTTCCGGAATCTGGGGTTCAGGGCTTAGGATTTAGGGGTTTAGGGCTTAGGGTTTAGGGTTTAGGGTGTGGTAACGTCATGGGTGCTCGCTGGTGTGTGCACACCCAGGCCGCTCGCACTTGTGCGTAGCAGACAGCCCACCCCAAGACCACCCTGAGTTCAAGCATTTTAGGGTTTAGTTCTAAAGTCTTCTAGGCACCCTAGCGGGGGCTTGGACATCAACGACGGAGGCCGTTACTTTCAGCGGGGCCCAGGCAGGATCGAAAACAGCACTGCATGTGGGCTTCCTGTGAGTCTGACCCCCTCTCTGGATTAAGCTTTCGGTGAGGCTGTGCGGTTGGATTCTTATGCAAGTCTTGTAAGGCTGTCATGACAAGTGCCGGAAGACTTTCTGTGAAGCTATAATGACGGGAATTGTGCAGAAACAAGTAGCACCGCATGTCGGCTTTCTGTGAGTCTGTCCCTGTCTGGCGTGGGCTTTCTGTGAGGCTGTGTTGGCGGGTTCTCATGTGGGCTTTCTGTGAGGCTGTCCTGGCGGGTGCCAGAAGAACCAAAGGGCTTTCTGTGAGGCTGTGCTGGCGATCGCCGGAAGAAGCAATGGACTCTCAGTGCGGCAGGAATTGTGCAGAAACAAGCAGCACTGCATGTGAGCTTTCTGTGAGTCTGTCCCTGTCTGGATTGGGCTTTCTGTGTGTTGGCAGGTTTTTATGTGGGCTTTCTGTGAAGCTGTCCCTGTCTGGATTGGGCTTTCTGTGAGGCTGTGTTGGCGGGTTCTCATGTGGGCTTTCTGTGAGGCTGTCCTGGCAGGTGCTGGAAGAAGCAATGGGCTTTCTGTGAGGCTGTGCTGGCGAATGCCGGAAGAAGCAGTGGGCTTTTTGTGAAGCGGCAACTGTGCAGAAACAAGCAGCACTGCATGCGGGCTTTCTGCGAGTCTGTCTCCGTCTGGATTGGGCTTTCTGTGAGGCCGTGCTGGCGGGTTCTCATGTGGACTTTCTGTGAGGCTGTTTTGGCGGGTTCTCATGTGGGCTTTCTGTGAAGCTATCCTGGCGGGTGCCGGATGAAGCAATGGATTACCTGTGAGGCTCCAATCCTTGTCCATTTCGGATTCGTAGCAATCCTGCAAGTCGTGAAGGGTCGGGGGGTCCAACCCTTGTCCATTTGGGAGCCGTTCCAAGTCGTGAAGGGTTGGGGGGGTCAAACCCGTGTCCACTTTCCGTTCATGAAGGGTTGGGGGGTCAAACCCTTGTCCATTTGGGTGCCGTTCATGAAGGGTTGGGGGGTCAAACCCTTGTCCATTTGAGAACTGGGCAAAAAGGAGGAACCCAGAGATCGGCCGACAGCCTAATGTAAATGGCACATTTTATAAGCAGAATTTGGTAACAGAAAATCAGCTGTCAGCTTCCTGGAAAGGAACACCCGCCAAGTCGTGAAGGGTTGGGGGGTCCAACCTTTGTCCTTTTGGGAGCCGCTCCAAGTCGTGAAGGGTTGGGGGGTCAAACCCTTGTCCAGTTGCCGTTCATGACGGGTTGGGGAGTCAAACCCTTGTCCATTTGCCGTTCATGAAGGGTTGGGGGGTCAAACCCTTGTCCATTTGCCGTTCATGAAGGGTTGGGGGGTCAAACCCTTGTCCACTTGCCGTTCATGAAGGGTTGGGGGGTCAAACCCTTGTCCATTTGCCGTTCATGAAGGGTTGGGGGGTCAAACCCTTGTCCATTTGCCGTTCATGAAGGGTTGGGGGGTCAAACCCTTGTCCATTTGCCGTTCGTGAAGGGTTGGGGGGTCAAATGAAGGGTTGGGGGGTCAAACCCTTGTCCATTTGGGGGCCGTTCATGAAGGGTTGGGGGGTCAAACCCTTGTCCATTTGCCGTTCATGAAGGGTTGGGGGGTCAAACCCTTGTCCATTTGCCGTTCGTGAAGGGTTGGGGGGTCAAACCCTTGTCCATTTGCCGTTCGTGAAGGGTTGGGGGGTCAAACCCTTGTCCATTTGCCGTTCGTGAAGGGTTGGGGGGTCAAACCCTTGTCGAAAGGATCCGCTGGCAAAAAAAACCCGGGTTTAGGGTCTATCCTTTATAACCACTCCGTGGGAGGTGCCCGAGGGGCCGGCATGCATGGTGCCAGTCGCCTAGCTTTACCTAGGCTCCGCGTACGCGTTTTCTGCCGCTCGCGAAGCTCGGGCCGCTTCGGGCTCCGCGGTGGCGGTTGTCGAGCCCTCAGCGAAGACTTTAGGGGTTAAGGGTTTAGGGTTTAGGGGTTAAGGGTTTAGGATTTAGGGGTTAAGGGTTTAGGGGTTTGGGGTTTAGGGTTCAAGAGGACTTCAGTTTATGTACAACTCTAGTAGGAAATTGTTAGGAAGGCTATGGATTACTGACAACTTGGACCACTTGGACCCGCTTATGAAGCATTCTTGCACACAAAATCAAAGGAGTCTAAGAACGACAGGCCTTGGAATTGTCCTTAATAGTATATCCTCGCGAAGAAGAGGGACCAACAAGGGGCATGCTGCTCACTTTTCAAAACCCACTTTGGCACCTCCTCCTGCACATCCCCGGTGTCGTCGAAGTGCACCAACCAAGCCTCTCGGATAGGCCGAGGCGATGCCGCAGCAGCAAAATTAGATGTTTGGATCCGTGTGCGGAGTTCAGGGTTTAGGGCTTAGGGTTTCTTAAGGGTTAGCGTTTGGGCTATAGGGCTGAGGCCAGAAGTTAGGTAGTGGCTTGCCGAAGTTGCTCAGAGCTCGGCGCTGCTACTACTATCCTAGCTACGATGTTAATCTGAGTACTGTTCCATTTAACACAATCACCTTACAGTCCCCACAGCATTCTTGTTCTTTAAATAGCCCTGTACTCTTATTGGTGAGGCGAACGAGCCAATTTCGCACATTTCTTACTAGCTCTCTTCCGCAGTTCAAACCTGACTCGAACCCCTCAACCCCAGAAAGGCCTCAAGAAGAGCCAAGCTCCTCAAACCTTTTGGTGTAGAACCCTTAACAAAACCCCCACGAAACCCTTCTAGAACCCTGAAAAGCCAACACAACACCCAAGGAAAACGCCCAACACGAGCACAAAACGCATAGAACCACAAAGACCCCCGGAGAACGTCCTGAAGCCCTATACCAGAAAACCCTGTTACCAGAAACACATCAGAAACAAACCCTGTGGAACCCTCCAAAACCCTAAACCCGAAACCTTACACTCGAAACCCTAAACCTTACACTCCAAACCCTAAACCCTAAACCCTACACTATAAACCCTGAACCCTAAAGCCTACACTCTAAGTCCATAAACCCTAAAGCCTACACCCTAAACCCTAAACCCTAAATCCTAAAGCATACACCCTAAACCCTAAATCCTAAAGCCTACACCCAAACCCTAAACCCATAGGTCTCGAAAGCCACGCAGCGGGCAGGGCTGGTGGACATGGCGGCTCGCCGAGCTTGCGAGCGACGTCCTTCTCTCCGGAGATTGATATGGGTTTAGAGTTTAGGGTATAGGATTTAGGGCTTCGGGTTTGTAGGGTTTCGGGCTGAGGACTTGCAGAGTTTAGGGTTTCGGGCTTAGGGTTTAGGCGGTTTAGGGTTTCGGCGTTAGGGTTTAGAGCTTCGGGTTTAGGGTTTATAAAAGTTTGTAGAGATTCGTAGCCCCGGATAATGTCGGCTTCGGGAATTTGGGTGTTTTTAACTGTGGGTCGTATGGTTGTTGTGACAGTCAAGCTGGAACATAGATTTATGCTTTACCGGGTAATGTAGAAACCTGATTAATTAATGAACTCCTTATCTCGAATATCGGCAGCAATGAGGATTCACACGAACTTCGCACTAAACATGGGGAATTATTGATCGGGGACCTACATTGACGTACCGATCCGTACCCGAACCAACTAGGAACTAGAACCTGCCCTTTTGCAGTGTGACTGTCTTACTTCCACATTATATAGGGTTATTGTCGGCTTTCATGAGGAGCCTACAAACACGATAGGTTATGGTAATTTCGGGTAGCCGAAGATCCGCTTACTGACGCGTGAAAGTCGTAAAGCAGGAGAGCCGGAAATTGCATTGTGCCACTGCGTGTCTGCTTGGTGGCTTCCGGACCAATGGTAGTGGCCCCAGAACCTAAACCCTGCCCTAACCCCACACAGACCCCAAGTAAACAAGCTCGTAAACTTGGTGTTGAGTTCAACAGCCTTGAGGATTAATCGTGGTTCCCTGGAATCTTGATTGAACCAACGAGGGAGCTTTTGCAATTCTACCACACCGGTACCCAGAAATGAGCAGGGGTCCAACGCCCCGTGGCGGCGAGCCGGGTCCAGGTGGCAAAGTATGGCGCTCAGAACCTCGAATACTCGGAGGGTAGTTATAAGTCGGGTTATGAATCCCCTAATATGGGTGATAAGTATAGTTACCCTACTTATAGCCCCACTTATAACTACCCATGAACCTCCAAGTAGAACTGAAACCATGAGAGTATACAGAGTTCCGTAGAGGTTCTGTGGGTTACAGGCGGGGTTCTCACAGGATGCTATGCGGGTTTTTCTAAGGGGCTCGAGGGGATACCTGCGTGTTCCTACTGCTCAGCTTGAAAATGCGAAAGTTCAGGCTTTGGAGCTTAGGCTTCGGCGTCAGTGCATTCAGGATTTAAGTAAAGGGTTTCGAGTTCAGGGTTTAGGTTTAGGTTTAACCCCCAAACCCTAGACCCCAAACCCTAAACCCTAAGAGTTCAGACCTCAGGTTTTAGGGTTCAGGCTTCGTGCCACTCGCCTGCGAGGGCTTGCGATTACATCTCACGGACGGCCCGAAAACTCTGAAGTTTCGGCCATGGGAAGACTCAGAGCTGAGATGCAAGGTCCTTTCCCTTAGCTTTGCTTAGTAGGGAATGGATGCATGGTAGTAATAGTAGTTATACTTGCACCCCATTCCTCCATTCCCTACTAACCAATGGTAAGTTCCATGATTTTGGGAACCCGATGCCCTCCCTTACAGTTCTAGGGCTCAGGCCATCAGGTTTAGCAAGCGATTCAAAAGCTGGGGATACCCTACACCTCAAAGCCCCCGAAGCCCCAAACCCTCAAACCCGGAAACCCGTAAACCCTCAACTCACGCTTGAAGTCCTAAACTCCAAAGCCGAAAACCCTGAAGCCCTCAGTGCTACAGCACATTACCCCGAAACCCCAAACTTAGGCGGCAGTGCCTGGGTTCGAGGTCTCAAACAGACTAGCCTTGGCCGAAAAGATAAGCCGAAAACCCTAAACCCTAAACCTTAACCGTGGCTTAAACACTTTAGGTTCGGATTTTTGTTCAAGGGCCTACTTTCGGTCTGCATAAGAGTCCATGCTACGAAAAAGCCCACCTGGGACAGGCAAAGGTTCTAGATTCGGCTCTTAGGTTTTGAGTTCAGCGTTTAGGATTTAGGTTTTAGGGTTTAGGTTTAGGGTTTAGGGTTTAGGGTTTAGGGTTCAGGGTTTAGGGTTTCGGATTTAGGGTTTAGGGTTTAGGGGGTCCAAGCAGTTTTACGGATTTGGGGCTGCCAACCAGGACAGGGAGCTTGTGACGAGTACGGTGACCCCATGTCCCGTTTTGTCCCGATACTGAAGCGGCCTCGAGAAATTCAACAAGGTGTATTACACCATACTTGTGTATAGGGACTACAGGGGAATCTTGCCACCAATGATTCCGACCCCCGTGTTATCCGACGCGAACCGGAAGCACAACAGATAGCGCTTTCAACTTTTTCAAGCTTTGCAAGGGCGATAGCAGGGTTCATGCTGTCGTATCAAGGACTAGAACAGCGCCCTTCCCAAATCTTGAAGCACCCCCTGGACGACCAAACACTTTCCGACCCCGAAACCCGAAACATCCGGCTGCTTTTGTACAGACTGCAATGCGATTGGGACATCTGGGCGGCGACGGTGCTTTTTTGCAGCCACGGCCCCGATTTCCGCGTCTTGGGTTTGGGAGCTTAGGGTTCAGGGCTTATATAGGGTCCAGGGGGAGATTCAAGGGTTAGGGAGACCTTGCTATGCGCCCTATCTGGTCGGACCCTCGTGGGAAAGACTCCAAAATCAGAAACCCCTAGGCCTAAACTCCGAGACTCAAGAACGTCCAAGTAGCAAGCTAGCTCTTCCGTTTTCGAGCTGAAGTACCAAATCTAGTCCATGGTTGGTCTATTCTATTCCTTCTGGGGTACAAGTACCCATAAAGATGTAAAATTTGTTCCAACCATGACGAAGTACAACAGTACTCAATACAAAAGGCTCCGGTCGTGATGTGCGGATAAAACTGCGGATTTCCTGCTCAGCAGACATGACAAGAGCTAAGGGCTGAACCATTCCGGCTCGTCTAGTTGGTTTCTGAGCTGGATTAGTAGCCATTCTTCGTGGGCTTGCAGAGAAAGGACTTCAGGAGTTGAAGCTTTCTTTCGTCTGGGGGCCCAGAGGGCTCAAATCCCAAACCCCCCGCGTGGGACTGGTCGACCCTGCGTGGGGACTGGCCGACTGCGGCGCGGTCTGGTGCCGCTTCGCAGCCGCTCGTAAACTCGAAGTTGTAGGGCTCCAAAAGCCCAAACCCTAAACCCTAAACCCTAAACCTTAAACCCTAGGTGTTGGCTTTAAGGCTCCGGGTTCTCGGAACTGAAATGGCATTCGCTGGGGTGGTACGGCCTTACCTTAACCCCAAATAACCTACCGTTTCCAGGACTTATATACAGAAATCATCTTAGGGAATCCCATAAATAGGTAGGTTCCTTTCTGTCCAGGTAAGGCTTTAGCTTAGTCGCCGAGTGCATAAGCCCAAAAAAGTGTAAACTTTCAGTTTTAAGAAGGTTTCATTATCCCAAAAAGTTTAAAGTTTAAAAACTCAGCTGCTAAGTTAGGGCTCAGTGATGCGCAGCATTGCGCTTTGGGGGTTTGAGGGCTGAGGAGGGCAGGTCTTGAGGGCTGCAGGCCTGACAGGTAAACCCCCAAAATGGGAGTTTCCGAAAACTAGGGGCACCCCTTATTTTGGGGTCCTTATAATAAGGATCCTACTATTTGGGGTGCTATATTAGGGTCCCTTGTTTTTCGGAAACTCCCAAATTTAAACCCGCTGAGAGTTTAACCCTGTTTAAAGACGCCATCTCTGCGCATAAGTCAGGTAAGGGATCCTTAAACGGCTGAGGGCTTCGAGTTTCGGGCATCTTCTTGAACTCTTTCAGGCATCTACAATACCCTAAACCCTAAGCCCTAAACCCTACAATAGAACCCAGACCCTGAGCCTGAAACCCAAAGAAAAGCAGTAAGCTCTCAGCTGCGCCGGCTACCACAGAAGGACGAAGGACATGAGAAGCACGAGCGGACCATGCGGATGGTCTGCGGCGTTGATAGAGACGCCACCTCCGGGATTCTTCGAAGCGTGTTTTAGGTTTAGGGCTTAGGGTTTAAGATTTTAGGGTCTAGGGTTTAGCTTGCTGTGCTGTTTAGGGCGACTTTGGCTTAGGCATAGACCTCGGTTTAGGGTTTAGGGGCCTCTGGATAAAGGGGGTGATAACAAGACAGAAGCTTCAAAGTGGCCGCACCTTGGGTTGTCGTGGGACTGGTGGTTGTTGTGGCTGAGAGGTTGCATGCTACCACTGAGCTGGCGACTTCCGCTGCATACCACATCTCATCGACGCTCCTGGTAGCACTCATTGGCAGGGGCTCTTGTTTCAACACAAAGCAACCTGGTCGTAAACTTCACTATATGGGAGTTTCCGAAAATAGAGGACCCTTATATGGTACCCTAAATAGTAGGATCCTTATTATACGGACCCCGATAAAGGAACGCCTACTTTTCGGCAACTCCCATATTCCTCACAAGAGGATGATCTCACCCGACACGGCGCCGAAGTACAGCTAGAGGCGACATCCTTAAAACACTGCCAAGTTTGCGCCAAAGAGCCCGGGGCTCAACCAAAAAGACCTAAACAAAAACTGCTACTGTTCTGGTAGCCCAAAAAGCCCTAATTAAACCCGGAACCCCGCAACTAACCCCCTATAAACGGACCTAAACCCCAAACCCTGCACCCCTAAACCCTAAACCCTAAACCCCTAAACCCCTAAACCCCCTAAACCCTAAACCCCGAAACCCGAGAGATCCCGAGCTCCCGCCAGCGCCACAGAGGGCTCGAAAGGTGACGTTCTCGCACGCAGGCGCCGTCCACATATGGCTCCTGATCTACTAGGGTGGCCATCACTACTAGCGTTTCGGGTTTAGGTGTTTCGGGTTTAGGGCTTAAGGTTTAGGGTTTAGGTGTTTGGGGTTTCGGGTTTAGTTAAAGTTGAGGTGTTTAGGGTTGATATAGGGTTTAGTCCTCTATAAAATGCACGATGTCTCGATTCATCCGTTTATCGTAAGTTTGCGTTTGCTTCTTCTGCTGCTGCGGTGTGTTGACTCTTTTATTCGTCTTCGTACAAAAAGTTCTGACGACAGTGGTTGCGGCTCCAGCTACGACGAGCATTCTGCTCCTGCCGTTCCAGGTAGTGGCGGGAGCGGTGACTGAAGCCTGAAAGACTAACAACGACTTTGCCTGCCTCAAAGGGGAAAAGGAGGGACCCTTCATGGGGACCCCTACCCTATAACGGGCTATATAATGGGTCTATAATAGCTATATTCAGGGTATATACCTAGGGGTCCTTATTAAGGGTCCCTCCTTTTACCCAAAGGTTATCGGCCATGTCACCCAACACACTGCGAGTCTTCCCATTCCCCCCAAAACCGAAACTCTGAAGCCCCTTGAGCCGGACCTTCGACAAAATCATGAAGCCCCTAAAAAACCCTTAAAGCATAGAAAAAGCACCCAGGGCACCTGAAGCCCTAAAGCCCGGAGAACCCAAAGTACGGAGACCCTGAAAGTGCCAGAAGCTCAAGGGCCCCTGAAACCTGTGACGATCGCCAGCTGGTCTCTGGCCGCGAAGCCTAAGCACTAAACCCTAAGCAACCCTGAACCAAATCCTAAACCCTAAACTCTAAACCCTAAACGCTGAACCCTAAACTCTGGACCCTGACCCTAAACCCTAAACCCTAAACCACTCCTAAACCCCCTATGCCTACAATATAGGGACCTTAATACTATAAGTATTTTAAGAATCCCCCCCCCTTATTAGGTAATTGATGATTTTCGGCCCCTAGGCTGTGCTGTGTGGGCTCTGGCTGCTGACCATGGAATTCTCATCCACCGTGGAATCAGAGCCGAAGGCTCCGCTGCTTGCCGTGAGCCTTCGGTGGCGTGTTTTAGGGTGCCCGGGTTCTGCGTATCATAAACTTCGATGGCGTTTAGGGTTCAGGGTTTAGGGTTTAAGGTTAAGGCTTCAGGGTTTATTTA